CAGTTCATGTGGGTGCTGTTTGATGGTTTTGGTTTTGGTTTGTTTTTGTTTTGTTTGGGGTTTTTTTTTAGCTAAAAGGTCAGGGGGATACATTGTACTCTTCTCTCTTTCCATTAGTCCTTTGGAGAGAGAGATTTGATTATGTTTCATTAAAATAGTACAAATAAGTATCAGTTGATATGGAAACTTATATTAGGTCAGAGTTAATGATTTTAAAAGGCACCTTGTAGTTGCATTAAAGGGAAAAAAATCTGAAAGCATATGTATTACCTGGTCCTTAAGTAAACACTGACAGAAGTTTCATCCCTTGGGTCATACAGGTCTGTTATTTTACAGACTCTAGGAAAAAAAATGTTTGTTGCTTTGTCAGAGTGTATCTATAATAGCAGATTAAGTAAACCTGGGCTTCTTACTCTGCTATTACAGAGAGTAAGATCAGAAGTTTTGGCCAGATTTGAGCAATCATATGGAATTTTAGGAAATTACTAGAGGTTCTGAACTTTCTTTAAACTGTTCAGCAAGTTACCTGATTCGTCTTAACCAAAGACAAATCGCCTTAACCACCTTCTTAAGCAAAAATCCTTGCTAAAGAGGGGACAGAGGAATGCCAAGCACCGTGCCTTTTGGGGAAGAGAGTCCCAAGGCTGTCTTGCTTTGCTTGAGAGGTTCTGGCCCTTCTGCTCTTGTGCTGCCTGTGGATCTTCAGGGAGAAGAGGTCAGGTGGGGCAGAGTCATGTTTTGTGTAAGACTCTGGGTAGTAGGTGTTTGAAAAGAAAAAAAATTGTGTCCTCCTAAAGAGCTTCATTCGGAAAGTACTTTATCCTTCTACACACTTTGGGAGAATTAGGAAGTCAAAATTTTTTTAAGTGAGTCTCCTAGTAGCTTAGAAAGAGGATGGAAGTAGACATCTGTTTATTTTTACTTAGCTTCCCCAGCAGCCTCCATTTTCTAAGATGTCATTATCCTATGATGTGTATGGCATGTCTCTGCTGCTTGTAATTTCCCCAAGCAAGAGAATCAGCAGAACAAAATCGGTGTGGGGTTTTTTTTGACAATTTCATCATTTCACAAAGTCACTGTATTACAGCAGTGCTGTAGATGGCAACTAAGGCATTCAAGGTGATTGTAGGCTTAGGGAAATGGCGTTGCACTAGTTCACCCTCTTTGTATAAGAAGGTAGGGTTCTTTCTAACCATGGACGACATCCTTTCTTTCACAAAACACATTAATTTAAGTTTTGTATAAAAAATGGTGGCTATGACACCTCCTGGGTTTTCTAGAGAAAGCTTTTTGGCTATCACTGGTGAGTGACTGATTGGATTCTGCAAAAGTTGACATCTTTGCTCTAGTTCTCTGTAGTTCTTGTCAGCTCTTTGGAGAGCTCTCAGCTTGAGATCTGGGCTGATTGGAACATAGCTGTGAAATAGTTTCAGGTATTTAATTTGGTTTTGACTTTTCCTGGCAGCTGGTGGTTTTACACCTGCACGGGGAAGCTACAAAGATCTACAATGTGCGTGGTAGAAGAAAAGCGTCTTACTGCACCATACTTTACAGACAAACTCTGCTGACATACAGTTCTGTGAAAAGCATCGTGTCAACTGAAAAAAGTGCATCTATTTTTCTTTTTGTTAATGATATGCTACTTGTAGCAATAGCAGCTGAATGAGTTTTACTTGAAAGTTTGTTTTGTGTTCTTTAATATAAAGAATGTTGCACTGTATTTGCCAGACTTGCTTCTTCAGGAATAACTTTACATCAAAAAGTTTTCTTTGTGATGGGGAAATAACCAAAATGTATTTTTTAATGTTGGATTTCTAGAAGGCATTTTTATCACCTGTCAGCTAATTGAATTGGGAATATTTGCCACTTGTTGAGGTACAGGATTTAGTTCAAAAAAAAAGTTAAATATTGGATTGACCAATTATCAAAACTAATGTTGCCAAGAAGTTTATGTACTTATAGTATATGTTGATTGATCAGAAGTTGTTCAGGCATAAGTATAAGCATGGTGTCTTCTCACTTTTAGCTTTTTCCTGTGTATTTACAGTTTTTCCAGTGTGCTTTGTGTTCTGCTCTTATGTTTGCTTGATAATAATAAAGGACTAAATACCATAGCCATTGGCTATCATGTCAGTATGTAAGGGCTTTGTATTATATCATCTTCCCATATCGGGCTCTCTTAGAATAGGTTGTCTTAACTTTTTGCTTCTGAATTCTGCAAATATGGTTACCAGAGGAATCAATCATCTGTTAGCCTCTCTTTTGACATCAGCAGCCATCCTTTCTAATGATGAAATTGTATGTGCATCAGTCCACAGAGCAAGAATCAATAAGTGTGTGTTTGGATGTGCAATAAATGAACTTCCTGGACTAGGAGACTTTCCTACTGTAACCTTCAATATTACAGGCGTGTTGGGTTTGCTTTTTTTTTTTGAGATTTAAACACAGGCTTTGATGTTTAAGATGATTTTAAATCTGTTGGACTTTTGGACTTTATTTGTTAATTCTTGAGGTGTTTTAGATTCTTTTATGGCTTCAGTATTTCCTTGTCTTTTCATAGGACCCCAGCTGAATGCACAACTAGAAGGTTGGCTTTCTCAAGTACAGTCCACAAAGAGACCTGCTAGAGCCATTATTGCACCGTAAGTTTGAAATCTGTTTTTAGTATATGTAATACTTGATTAGTTAAAAGCTGCTTTATTTTGAGTGATTTTGAAAACTGGTAAAGCTAAAAAGGAATGCTTGAAAGGAATGTCATGTGGTTTCTAAATAACTATTTTGGATATGGCATGTAATGGAAGAAATCTGTGCACATTTTGGTATATGATTAGTTTCCTTTTGCTGATGGACTGAAGACATAACGTTCACTTGTGATCCAGTAAGACAGGTAAGAGGTGTTAGTGGAGTGGTAGTCTAAAGATGACAGCTCTTTCAGCGCACTTCTAGCATAGAACAGCTACACATATTAAAAAAAAAAAAAAAAAAACAAAACCAAAACCAAAAAACCCCCCACAAAACAAATAAACAAAACACCAACATCGCCTCCAAATCAAAACTTAGCAAAGCTTAAAACAAAAGTAATGAAACAATATTCAGCTATTCAAAATGGTTTACTTTGGTTATTTTAGTTTGGTTCTGTTTGGGTTTTTTTCTCCACAGGAGAAATAGGGATCATCTAAACTGTTTAGGTAGAATTCATTTTACTGAAGATGGTTGAGACATGTAATAAGAAAAGTATGTTGGTCATTCCAATTTATTGTGAGTTGGAAGGAAATACTAGAAAAAGCACCTTAAAAATGATGTTTTTCCTGTGCTGACATAGCATTGACATAATGTTTGAAGTATTCCATAATAGTATTGAATGTGCAGAAGAAATTGTCCCAGATCTGCCTTAGTGTTTCGCGCAGGAATGACTGGAAAGGAATGTCAATATGCATTGACATAATCTTTGAAGTATTCCATAATAGTATTGAATGTGCAGAAGAAATTGTCCCAGATCTGCCTTAGGGTTTCTCACAGGAATGTCTGGAAAGAGGCCTTTCAGCTGCGGATTAGGTAACCTGGGTTCTTTTTCCAGAACTGCGAAGGTCTTCCCATGGTCTCACCAAATTGTTTCATTAACTGTGCCTTTGTTTTCCCACCTGTAAAGTGGGATATGGCTAATTTTTGTGAAAGACTGAAAAAGCCTGTAGCAGAGGGAACCTTTCAGAAGGCTCTGTTGACATTGTCATATAACATACCTTGCTGGTTCACTAAGTTCCAGTCTCCTGTTTATGCCCTTAGCATGTATGTTAGTACCTTTCTGAGCTCTTCAGAATGAGTGAGGTAAGTGACACTGAAGTAAAACCCCAGGGTAATTTTGAGGATAACTTGCTCCAGGTGTCATTCTGTGGATGTGCATATATGCATGTATGCATACATACATACAAATAAATGTAAAATCCTCCCGTGCTGTCAATGGGGAGCTCCTATCTTCAAATATCCTATATGTCCCAGGACTTGGAGCACGTGTCATTCTCAGTGTCATTGTATAAAAAGACTATCTGGAAAGCTGTAGTTGTGCTGTTGCACATACTTGACTCAATAAATGGTAACTATTGACCTAGGGTCACAGATGAGCTCCAGAGGCAATGTGGCCCAAGCACCGTGCAATGTGGGCATGGCCTTCTGCTGTGGACATGCTGCTGAGTGACCGTGAGCTGTTCTCCACCACTTGGCCTGGGACCCTGGGGAATGAACGTTTTCTGGAATTAATGCTTTTAGCACTGTAAACTGAATCTTCTGTTTTTAACAGTCTTGAAGGGAATGGGTCTTAAGATTTGAAACAAGTAGTCAGAATAATTATGAATGTTTTTGGAGCACACACAGGAACATGGGTCGAGAAAGGCTCCAGGCCAGAGTGATAGGAAATGATAAAGCATATGTCGTGTTCTCTGCAGTAAAAGCTACAGTGCTCCGTTCCACTCCTTTCCTTGTGCCTATTTGTTCTGTTGCTGAGGTATTCTTCTTCAGTGACGGAGCATTTTAATTCTCTGTTTATGTGCTGTAACGTGTAGTTTCTCTTTGCCAGACCCCTCTACTGTCATCGTATTCAGTTACTGGAGTGTGGTTAGAAGAGCTTTCTCCAGCAGCTTGCTATTCTCTTGTCCCTTGGCTGCACTCTTAGCATTATGATGAGCTTCTGATAATATGCAGTTGTGTAGACTGCCTACTAATATCTTTTACAAGTAACGAAAGGTGCTTTGATCTGAGGCTTACTTACTAACTTTCAAGTAAATGGTCACTGATAGTTCATTAACAAATACATCCCTCGTACATTCAGTACTGGAACAGTGCTCTCCAGCTGTTTCAGGAGTTGATTTTTGGATCGCTCTTACTATTTCTAGCTCATTGGGGACAAATAATATTTAAGATATTAACATTTAATAGCAATATCAATATATTTAAGACGTTAAACAGTATCGAACATGTTAACGTTTTGTACACCTTGATTTGCAGCCATGCAGGATATACCTATTGTGGATCTTGTGCAGCCCATGCTTACAAACAAGTGGATCCTAATATTACGTAAGTATAAATGTTTTTCTTTACAAAGTGTAAGGCAATGCCATTGTAGTTTTCTGAGAAGCTGAATATTCTTTTTACATTCTTACACTTTGAGGTACTCAAATTTTAATTTTGTACTCTTTTTTAGTGTTTTATTCATCCCTTCTGTTTTAACATCATAAATGTTCAAATTGTTTGGATGTTACAAAAGAAAAAATTAATGTAGTATTGTTGAAAATAAAAATGTAAAGCAGTATTTTCAAAAATTATTGAGAATTATTGGTAACTAACTTTTTAGAAGGAAGGGGTTAAAGGTGTTCTTTTTGCAGGTAATAACATTTAATTTACTTTATTGCTTGATGTTCCACTGCTTTTATAAAAGCCCAAGCTGGTTTGTTTTTTACTGGTCACAGGTTGTCTTTGTTTCTTTTTTGTTATGTTCGGTTTTTAAGTATGTTAAAAAACTTGATCGTGATTCTGCATTGGTTTTTCAGTGCAGGATTATGGGCTGAATGCTAGCAGGATTCTCTTCTGCTGTGGAGAAAGTGACCAGTGTGTGTATATAATATTTGAAGTTAGTGAAAGTTTCATGCTGTAATAATTTTAAATGGACTTGTGTTTCTAACAGCACAACAGTTTAACAAAAAGCAAAATTAAAAAAAAAACAACAACACCCTACTGTAGTCCGTGCCTGCCTCTGAAAATATGAATCCAGTTATTCTAGGTTAAAGGAATATAATTCTTATGTGTTCTGCTGACTGCAACGTTTTTTAAATGACAAAAATTTTAAACATTTCCAGTATTTACTTAAAAGTATGTATTTTGCAATGTTAATATAAAACCTGGCTATGTCTATCGGTTGCTTATGAGATAGCATGTTGTAATGCTCTCCGAAGGCAGTGGTTTTGACTCTTTCTAACTATTGTAAACAAAGTGAAGATAACTAGTTTTTCTAAAATTTCTAGAACAAGTTGCATTCCGCAGGTTCAGTGACATGGAGTTGATTGAACTTTCTGGATCATTTGCTGTTTTACCACATGGGATGTTTAGAATTGGCCAGTCATTCATCTTTCAGCTGAAGTATTGCACGTTTGGATATTTTGTTTTTATAAGCTCTGTAAAAAGTTTTAGTATTTTAGTATTTTAGTATAGCTTGCTATAGCACTCCACATGTAAGGGGAAAAAGAAAAAAATCTTTACATGTCTCTCACCCCTTTAGTTCAGTGCCAGAAGCAAGATGATATGATCCTGAATCTGAAAAGCTGAATTTCCTATAGGTTTTTTTTCTTCTTTTCTTTAAGTCCTGTGGCAGGAGACCCTTAACATCTAATCAAGAGCCAGGAACTGAGGACTTGATGAAATAACATCATGATGACGTGTGAAAGCTTGCAGTATCAGCTAAAGCTACGAATGTGCAGGTCCAAGTCCCTGTTGTTGATGCAACAGCTGGATAAAAACAGCATTTAAGAATGACTTAGATTTTAATTTGGTGAAATCTGAAGTAAGGCTAATCAAGTAAATAAGTGAAGAGCTCTGAATAGATGATAAATCCATAATCCTCATTTGAGGGCGCATACCTGTAGTTGTTGAAGGTGGTGTGTAACTGATGGTTGTGTTGGTCCAAGGAGAGAATCCAAAAATCTGTTCTAAAGGGCTATTCAGCCTCCAAATGAGTCCATTCAGACAAATTTCTAGCTGATGAGTGCCCTCTGATACATAACCTGCTTAAGAGGTTCAAGGCTATCGGAAGCATAATTGAACTGATCTCATGATCATTTCTGAGATACCAAGCAGGGCTAGGCCATGGATTTGATCTGTGGTCTTACACACAGCATAATAAAACTATTGGTAACCACCAGAAAGTATCACTTTGTACGTTTTTATGAAACTTGTTACTCTAAACCAAGTCTCTGTACAATTGCAGTTGTCTAAATTATGGGCTTTTGTGTTAATTGTTGTAGCCGAAAAATTTTCATTCTTGGGCCTTCCCATCACGTGCCCCTTTCCCGATGTGCACTTTCCAGTGTGGACATTTATAGAACACCTCTGTATGATCTCCGAATTGACCAAAAGAGTAAGTGCTTGATAAAGCTTACATCTTGAAGATTGCTGAGGCTTGAGTATTAACTGTGGTACTGCAGTGCTGAGGACTCTCTTGTTGGGCACTTCATTGCTTTCAAGTGGCATATAGGTATGAATCTGGTTTTCCTGCAATGAAAGGTAACTTCTGAAAAATCCTGCTGGTTGCAGGCATTGCTATATTGTATATAACCTTAATGTCTCGCTTGCTGCTGCAAGTAAAGAATTCTCAATCTTTGCTTATCTTTTCTGTTATGAGTGTGTGCCTCTTGACAAGTGATCTTTAAAAGGGATCTCAAAATTAAACAGTGTTACATTTGAATAATAGCCCACTACACACCTGCTCCATTATTCTGCTAAGTATTCTGTCTGGAAAAAAAAAAGATAGCGCTTTAGTTGGTTTGAGTTTATTTCTAATAGAGGAATAATAGAGGAACAAAAAGCTGCTTTTATTTGGATGCATTATTGCATGTGACTTTGTTTTTCTTAACTGGCAGTGTACCTAAAGAACTTAAAAACTGTTAGTCCATGAAATACCAGTCTTTCAGACTAAGCTTAAAGGTGCGATGAAGATAAATTTGATATTTTGACTTTCATGTGTTTTGAGGTATACCTAAATAATACAATACCTTTTTCAGAAGGACTAATTAGCGCAGATGTATTGCTATTTCATCATGACTGCAATTAAGCAAGCTAGTTCAGGCTTTCTACATAGCGCCTGCAGAAATTTCCTTAGGTAACAAATGTTTCGGTTTCTGTAGAACTCCTTTATGGAGTGGAGAAGGATGCACAGCCATGCATCAAATTCTTCATCCAGTGGAGAGTTTTCGAAATGTAGAGTTGACTCTGCATGCCACCAACCGCACTTGAGAGTAGAAAAGATAACTTATAAATGTGGATTACTTAATCAGTTTTCGCTGTCTCTAGATTTCATGATTCAGCTAATAATAAATTGTATTAAATAGTAATACATTCAGCAATGGCTGAGCTGATCAGCAATTTTTTTTTTTTTTTAAACATATGATGGTATATTTTTTGAAAATAAGAATTCAGTGACTGGGCAAATGCATGCATATTTTCAAATGTGTTTTATTTGTGTTACTTAAATTTTGTATCATAACTGAAAATTTTTCTCAATATACTAACAAGGTCACTGATTTAACACACTTATTTTGTAAACCGAATCAATTATGTTTGTATCTTAATGACTTGAATATAGTTTTAAGCCGGATTTTATTTAAAAAACAAGTGGTTTATGATGTCAGCCCTTGGAGGCAAGAAATTTGTTATAGTGGGCTTGTTCTGGTAAAGATGCACTCACTGTAGCTTGTTTTACAGTGTTTTTAAAAAAAAAAAAAGTAGTAAAAATTAATCTTTAATTCATTTCAGTTTATGGAGAATTGTGGAAGACTGGAATGTTTGAGCGTATGTCCCTACAGACGGATGAAGATGAACACAGTATTGAAATGCATTTGCCTTATACTGCTAAAGCCATGGAAAGGTACTAGGGCTAACTACTTCTTCTACAAGAATGAGCATTATGTGCATTAAATGTTTGAACTACATGTGAAGTGCAGTAGGAAGTAATAATACCCTTTATGGTATATAATACCCTATATGGTGTATAATACCCACACTTCTCCCACCCCCCAATAAAAATTTTGGGAGGAGGGGGTCAGAGACTAGGATTAGTTGCTGTAATAGAAACTGTGAGCGGAGCAAATACCTGAATGATGAAATTGGAACACCCCTTATAAACAAGTTTACTTGTTTATATTGACTTAATAGAGTTAATATTAGACATGCTTTCATTAATCTTTCTCAATAGCTGATTTCCGCCCCCCCCCCTCCATTTTTGCAAGGCATCTCTGAAGGAAGTTCAAATACTAATAGGTATTTACTGTGGGATTTTAGGTTTGTTTGGAGCCTTAATACTAATTTTGAAATCAGGGTTCTGTTTACACTTGCTATTTCAGATGAGTACTTTGAATAATTTTTCTTTGAAGGTGACAATTTTTTGTCAGTTTATGGTGGGTTTTTTTCCCCCCTGCCTGTTTTTTTTTAACTTTTCTTCCATAGTATTTGTAATTTTCCCTGGAGTATCAGTATACATTTGTGTGCTATCTTGAGCATTTTCATATATGTTGGAAAATTACCCAACATTTGTGCAACATCTATACAGGGAGAATTTCATTCTTACTTTATTGCTGGTTTCATTGTGTCTTTTCTTTTTGTTTGCCTGGTGTTTTCACTTTGCAGCAAAGATAAATACTCTTTGGGGGGCGTATTTGTTTTCTTAAATTGAAGTAGTTTCAGATTCTAAAACAACTTCCTAGTATGACCTTACCAAATTAACTGTATCTTCAATTCAATAGTGTCCTCTTAAAACATTCTGCAATTTCAGTTAGCAAGTCCTGAAAACACTTCAGATGTTACTTGAATTACAATCTCTTTTCTTTTGCTTATAAGCCATAAGGATGAGTTTACTATTATTCCTGTGTTGGTCGGAGCACTGAGTGAGTCAAAAGAGCAGGAATTTGGAAAACTCTTCAGTAAATACCTAGCTGATCCTAGTAACCTCTTTGTGGTTTCTTCTGACTTTTGCCATTGGGGTAAGTTTCACATCTCTTCATTATAACAGTATAATGAATGTTTTGTAGTGATTTTCAAATAGTGTATTTTATTAAACATTGAACATTTTCAGTTCTGGTAAATGTATCTTTGAAGCTTAAATGTCTTTGTAAAGCTAAAAAAGGATTTTTCTTTTTTTTTTAATCTGGAACAATAGATGAATAATATTAATGTAGTAATGTGTTTTCAGTGTAGTGGAGGAAATAAATGATGAAGGTGTATGGGTTTATGTGCATCTCTTTACTGTTGCAATGAAATAAGCGTCTGAAGTTTCTTGCTCTTTTTACTCTTCTTTTAAGCACCTCAAAGCAACTTGCAAAACTAATTAGCTAAAAATTCACTGGATATGGCAACATCCCTCTGACAGAAATAAGTTTTGTACGTTTTACTGCTGGGTAAGATAGCAGATGGAGTATGTATGCCAATTCACCAGAGCTATCACAGTTCATCTTGGTGGCAGAGCTATAAAGACTCCAGAAGCCTCGACTTCTGTCCTGCTTTAACACTTTATTTTTCTTTTAAGTGTGATAATAGCTGGAAAAGGGACTGCTTGAGAAATCTATGTTTTATGTTACACAACAGACCTTCTTCCCTTTTTTCATTGTCATCTTTGGTCAACTTACGTAATTAAATGCATATTTTGCTTGTCTTTGAATTGTGGAATAGGTGGAGGTATATAAGAACGATCTGGGTTCTGTTGTGGCTAATGAATCATCTAGAACTGTTCATCGAATTATCATGAACTTTTTCTTTTAACCTTCATTTACTGTGGGTATTGTTGTGCAAGCAGAAGTAGCCTGACTCCAGGGTTGACTTTGTCAAGAGGGATAGCGAAATGAAATGTTGCTTTACTTTTTAATTTATGGAATTGGATTCCAAGGCAGTAACAGGCAATTAATAAGTGATACTGCAGTGTCAGTTCTACATAGCAGGTTTTTCTTTAGGAATATAGCTGCCCGTCATGTATTCTTTACTTCGCTTCTGGGCTGCTACTTTGATGATTGCCCTAGAATTTCCAGAGTGGAGCTAAAAAGCATAAAATAAATGAGGATTACTACTTTACAAATATTATAGTTTCAATTATTTAGTAAGTACTAGGGAGTGTTTTAGCTACGATTTTTCCCTTTTTTATTTTATACATGATTTTTGTTTCAAGGTCAGAGGTTCCGTTACAGTTACTATGATGAATCCCAAGGAGAAATTTATAGATCCATTGAGCACCTAGATAAAATGGTAAGTTTTCAGATTTGGTGGAACTAACTAACAAATTTCTCCTGTACATTACATTTCTTTGAACACTTTAGAAACTTCTCTAACAAAATATTATAGATTAGCTATTTTATTGAATGTATACTTTTCCTTTGTTTACCACAATAAGAACTTAGCTGTTGTTTTTAGCTAGTATCCTTCATTTTACTGGCTGCGCGCATTATATTGCGGGTATAATCTAGTAAGCATAATTTGTGAGAACAAATGCATGTTCGCCTACCTAAAATGCCCTAGTGTAATGTAATTCCTGTCCACATACCCTCTTGCGTTTTTGAGAAGCAATAAGAATTATGAATCGAGTAGTTCAGGCTTGATAGCTGTGATACCTGCATATCGAAACGGCATTGTGATTATGCTAATGGTTTCAGCAACATCCATTTTGAGGAGAAGAGGCTGTAGGGGATTGTGCTGGTCAGGAAAACGAAAGTCACCGTTGCCTTGGGAGTAGTCTTCCCCCCGCCCCTTACTCTGTAGTAGGTGGTGGGGAAAAGCAGTAGACCATACTTCATTCTGGGTTTGGCAAACAGTTGAAAGGAATGCTAAATACATAAAGGTCATGATGCCAATTATATTGCATTTTCTTTGCAGTCGCAGGAGCCAAGGATTTCTTTTTAAACGAAAAAATTGTATTAACATTCAAGACTATACTTAACACACAGAATAGAAGTAATTCTTCTGGAAATACGTAACCTTAAAATTTGTTTTAAAACTGTTTGGATCGTTTATGTAACTTCTGTAAAATCTGTCAGAAGAGAGAACTGTTGTTATTCAGGGCATGTTCATTTTTTTCCTTGTCTTGAAAGAATAAATCCTACCTGCTAAAGAGATCTCTGGAGTTTTTTGCTTTGTGTATCCATATTAACCTCTCTGTTTTTCCACTATTCATCGCTGGGATGGAACCAGTAAATAATTTGCCTTCATTCTATTTATCCCATTTTTAATAATTCTTGTTGTCAGTTGAGAGGTTTCTCTATAAAGACAAGTGTTTTTCTACAGAGTCCCAGAATTTGCAGCTCAGAGTGTTTTTGCAGGAGAGCAGATTAAGGTGCATTAGCAAACATTAGTTCCCTCTTGTTAATTTCTGTGGTGAAAGCTTGTAGAAAGACTGGACTTTGGCATTTAATTACTTTTAGTGAATACATTGCTGCACCAACTCTTTCTTTTGGTAGTTATTCAGCCAAAAGGACATGACATTTTTTGTAACATTGAAAATGATGTCTACTGTTTAATAACTATGAAAATACTTTTTCAATCCGAAATTTAACTGGAAAACTAAACATGCTGCGTAGCAGTATACTGTCGTTATTTTTTGCCTGTTTATATCGTGCCATATGTGAACGCATGACTCCGTATTCAAACTCTGTGCAGAGTAGGTCTTGCTTTCGGTGAATTTCAGAAATTTCTTTTTAGCAGTGTTGTGGGTACACTTGGAACGCTATCCACAATGCCACAAAGATCTCCCTGTCATGTTTCTCCAGCTTTCGGAAGGAGTTTATTCAATTCTGTATGCCCCACTCAGCTACTTCTTGTTTCCTTAGATAAGTATTGAGTTTTTTAATGTCATTTGGCATGCTAAAGAAACTTGTATTGTAACCACTAGGCCTCTCCACAGAGAAAATAGCATTAAGATAGAGACAAAACTGTACTAAAACCATCAGAGGTTTTAACCTGTGCTATTACTGACCCAATAATTTTATTGGACCTAACTAGCAAAGCAGTCGGCTGAGCCTTTGTAAGCAGGAAGATATTCTGGGTTAAGATGAAATTACTTTTCCTTAGAAATGCCTTGTGGGAGGACAATGGTTTCTTCCTTATTTAAACTGGACCGTAACTACAGATGCGTGAATGGTTTTCCTGGCTTGTGCATAAGCAACACTAAATGCTTTGGGCATTGAAGATTTACTAACCTGGTAACTGCTGTGAGAAATTTTATTTGCTGTGATTTTAAGTTAGAGCCCTTAGACTCCAGCATAAAAAAATACAGAGTAGTAAATATTACTGGGCAGACATCTGTTTCTGCATGGTAACTCTTAATGTGACCGCTCTGTTGCCCTGGGGGTACCAGAGTGCACCTTGTGAAGTGACGGTGAAAGGAGTAAACAGTCCCGTGGTTAATAGGCGTACCTTAGGGAAGAATCCTCAAATGAAGAGTTATAATTGAGCAGCTGATGTGCGATAATTTGTTTGTGTATCATAACCTGATACCCACCATCTTTTTAAATAAAAGTGGGGAAGTATTCTGTAAGACGTCGTTGAAGAGCAATTATTTTTTGATTATGGCTAGCCAGAAAATGCAGACTGCCTGCTTCAATCTTCACTGCCAGATAGCTCATCTTATATCTATTTGTGAAACCTTATGCCTCACTTGAGTCAATAGGAGGGTTCTGTTACCCTGAATGCTGAAGGGGGAGGATAATGCAGGCCCTGAGGAGAGCTGTGCAGGCACAGCCAGCAGTTGTTGTGCAGGAAACGTGCAAGCACGTGTTGCTTCTCAGGTGGCTCTAATGAACTGCTGAATTCTGGTGGCTTCTGTGGTGCCGCTGCGGTGTGCCAGCACCTTCCACAGTGCTCCAGCCTGGGAAGGCTTCTTAGCTTGGGCATAGTGCAAGACCATGACTCTCTGCCTGGGTGCCCAGCTCCCTGCTCTCTCTGCTGTGCCCAGCCAGTAATTTTCTTGTTGGTTGTTTATCTTCTAGTCTGAGTGACTCACACATGCAAAGATAGTTGGACTGGCTAGTGCTAAGACCAAGTTTGTTTCTACTTCATAAGTATGCTCCTAGTTTATATTTTCTTAAGTGTGAAGAAGCAGCTGAAGTAACTGATTGCAAACGTAAACTTGACCGGCCAAAGAATTATTGGAGTATAGTATAAAATAAGCCTGTGGGTTGGGTTTTTTTTTTTAGTTTGTAAGCTTGTAGATACTTGGTCCTATAGGGAATAATATTTAAGAATGTATCTGCTTTTAATCGTATTAAGTGCACTGTGCTAGGATATTGTAGATGCCATTTACAGTGTCTGGTTAACTGAGATACGCAGTTTCTATGTGGTGTCATAATAACCATGTGATAAACTGCAGAACTGTGTGATGGTTTGCATTTTTATCATGTGGGTTTTGTCATGTATTTTAACTCTGTTCTGAACCATGCCCGGCTGAGTTATTTTGAATATTGAAAATGATTACTTTCATACTTCTGCTTTTTAGAAAAATAAAATACAACCTGACGAAAATGTTTCCTTTGTTCCTCAGCACCATTTTAGACTGAGAAACAGGCTTGGTAGTCTTTGCTCTTCTGCCACAACGATTTTTAAATTCAAAAGATTGAAAAGTTCAGTACAGCTGAATGCTTATAGGGTATGTGTTAATACCCATTTCCTATGGATTTTCTCCAATCTGTGATGTATGGAGCTCTGTTAGCATTTGCTAGGATGAACTGCATAGCTCTAAATGTTTTGCAGTGCTGAACTGTGCATTGAAATAAGCTTACCAGGCATTCTGATAAATCCATGTCTGTTCATTTGAGACAAATGCTCAAATGCCTCTGCCCAGTATGTTCAGTGACTTACAGCTATAAATGAGTCTCTCAATTGAGCAGCCATTTTCATTTTTTAAAAAGTCGTGAAAGAGTTTACAAATGGATAAAATATATTCTTATGAGCTGTTCAGTATCTGAATAAGTGCCTTATGCATGTTTAGTTTCACTTGAGTATATAGTTAAGTTTGGTTCTGCTTTCTTTAGCTGTGTATTGACATGTACAATTTACAAGTAAATGGATGGTTCAAAGACATGTTGCTTAAACTTTAGAAATGCAATGATATCTGTGTAATCACTGCTAGTTAGAGAATAGCTACCTTTATTTTTTTGGCACTCATTTAGGTTCTGTAGATCTGGAGTAACAGCTGTAATTACCGGCCAGGGGTCCAAACACCCTCTCCATGACCCTGGAAGAACTGAGCTCTTGCCAGCAATTGGTCAGCATAGTTTGGTTTTATTTTTCCATAAAATTTATCTCTTTATGAATTCATCTTATGTCTGTTTTTAATGAAAAGTACACAAAGGTGGTGGTTATGGTTGCTGTTTTCTAATCCTCCCTGACTCTCTTGGGAATTTCCAGCTCCTCCATTGTAAGCTGTGATCCAGTCTGAATAATTAGCGTATCTGCCAGATCAGCCAACGCCCTTGCAGAGTATTCAAGAGGTTTCACTCTTGAGGTGGAGACTTCAGACTGACTGACTGCTTCCTGCATCGTGATTTCTCCTTTTATCACCCACTTTCCCAAAAGCAGGGGAAGGGGTTGGGGCAATCGCAGAAACCTTAGGAGAAATTCTCTCCCTTTCTGATATCAGCCTCCCGTTGTTCCCATGCAAAGTGTATGCTTTTTTCCAGTCTCTAAGGAAAACTTTCTGTTTCATCAGCTACATGTAAGAAGCACAGCTATGTGTCTTTCTGAATTAGTGAGTGTCTGGAGCTCATGTACCTGGTGAAGGGAATTAATCATTTTCAGAGGAAGGAAAAACACAAGAGGATGGAGTCTAATACAGGCAAAATAGCAAAGCCATGATAAAACCCAGACAATAATTGATTTAGACTTGCTTTAAACTACTTTCATTGTATTTGATCTGCACTGTGGGATGGGGTAAGAGTAGGCTGCATCTGGAGTTGTAGGATTCTTTTTGCTTTTAAGAATGCAAATGTTTGTATATGTGGAAGGTTTTGTTTTCCATACATGTTCTGGTTTTCATAGTATGACTCCATGGGATCATGGGTCTCACTGTGGATGGAGAAAAGGATGTATATATGTGACTGCCTCATGTAAAGTGGAAGCATCGTCTCCTGACTCTTATGTTTCTGTTGTGCACCAACTTTCTAGTGCTTTAGAGATGTTCTGGATCTGCTTTTTATGCTCTGAGCAGATGGTCAGCCTGTGCCCAGATCAACTGCCTTGCATGCCTGATGTGTCTAGGATACATTACACTTGCTATGTGCTTGAATTGCATGTGTGTATATTGACGATTTGTCTAGGGTTTTTGGACATCCAGAAGTCCCAGGCAAGTGCTCAGCCCTGAGCTCTGTTACCAGGGAGAAGAGATGGAGGCAAAACTTCTTTCTGCTTTGCCCTTTTAGTAAATTTGTCTGGTTATTGCTGTACAAAATCCTGTGGAAGTAGGGCACTCTTGGAGGTGGGGATCAGCTAGTCTGCGGGAGGAGCTTTTTTAACGTGAGCTTCACTGGTATCTGCAAAGATAGCTTCACAGATCTGTGGATCGTTGGCAGCTTTGGAAGAGCTCCTGCGCTCTTAGTTTGGCAAGGGATGGCAACAAGACAACTACAAGCTAGAGCTCACATGCTGAGATTCCCTTGATACCCTTGATACAAAGTAGAGGGTTTTTTCCTCCTGAAGTATGCTGTGTTGTCATAAATAGGTGATGTGTAAACAACTGCTTATGAATGTGTGAAGTAATCATTGCTATGGATTCTTTTTCAGGGTATGAGCATTATAGAGCAGCTAGATCCTGTATCTTTTAGCAATTACTTGAAGAAATACCATAATACAATATGTGGAAGACATCCTATTGGTGTATTATTAAATGTAAGTAACTTTTGATTTGTTGAAAAATGTAACTTTTAGCAAAATGCTTACATTTGTTTTAAATACAATATTGCTGGAGTATTCCTTAGTTCTAAAATGGCATGTCTTTAATTAATTTATTTTTCCAAGTGTTCTCTACTTGGTCTCCAATTTCCATGTCTTGCATATAGACAAATGTAAGCTCTTACAAGGGCTGAGGGTTTTCAAATCCCTAAGGGAGATGAGGTACTGTATTCTTTTTGAATTTCAGTGAAATAGAATAATTCACTTTCTCTTGGCCCTAAATGAACAAACAAATAAATCCATCTCCCTGAAGAAGTACGTACTTACTCTTTTGAATTGGTACTTAACAAACGTATATGTTTTCTCTGTATTGCTATTAGCTAGCTATTGTGAGTGCCTTGTGATGTCTGGCAGCGTTTTTGAGTTTTGCAAATATGATGAGAGATTTCCTCTGTAAGTATTAGTGCAGTGCACCGTTAACTCATAAATTAATGGTAATTAGAATTCAGATTAACTGGTACTTTCTAGTTACCATATTCTGCTTTGGTGATGCAGTGCAGACATAAACCTGCCTTAACTTAGTTGTCTAAATTGGGTCACAGCTGCTTTATAGCACTGCTGGAGTGCTGCAAATTTGTCATATTGCTTTAGTGAATCTCACTGTATTTTTACTGTAATTCAAATCTGAAACAGAAAACATGTTAACCTTTTTAAAAGGGAAAACTTAATTCACTAGAAATGTAGTCTGTACGGAGAACATCTAGAGGAACCTTTTAAACTGGAGTCTATAAAAGTTTGTATGAGCAATATCAATATCGGGGATGCATGTAGCAAAATTCAGTACTATGACAACTCTGCAAAAATATCCAACTCTTAAGCTCAGATAATGCTTAGTTTTGCAGTGAATCTGAGCTCAATTCTGTTCATTCATTTTTGCCAGTTGTCACACGTTAGTAAATTATCTTGGTACATTCTTTTTCCTTAAGGGAAGAAATACGATCTAAAAAGTGTTAATAGTGTTGGATTTTTTTTCTGTTATATTTGTGTTTCTGTATAAATTCCCTATGGAACTGAAAGCATTGTTTCTAAAGGATCTATTTTGAAAGGTTGTTTAGTATTGCTTCATAGAACTGCATGCATGTACATAGTGCAGTGGGGGCAGTGTCAGTGAATGAAACGGCACGGAAACGGGTTAGGTCCACAAATTACTCGGAGGTGCTTATGTTATTATAAGAGATGGTGCAAGGACCTCCGGGTGAGGGGAGAGGACTGAGATCTAGAAAACGTCATAATGTCACTGATACCTTTTTTAAACAGCTTCTTTTCTCTCTTCAGGCTATCAACGAGCTCCAGAAGAATGGAATGAATATGAGCTTTTCATTTTTGAATTATGCTCAGTCAAGCCAGTGTCGAAACTGGCAAGACAGCTCAGTGAGTTACGCAGCTGGAGCACTTATGGTCCACTGAAAAAAAAAAGGCACCTGCACACACTCTGTATACGGGGTCCCAGCCTAGCCCTTACAAAGATACAGTCCCTGGTCTTTGGGTATACTGAAACCTCAAACTAATAGAACTCTCTTCTTTTCTAGTAGGTGTAGTCCTTCCTTAGTTTCAACTCGTTTAAAGATGCTTTCTTGTTTAGGACAACGGAAGGAAGGCTGGTATAGAAACTTCTTTTTTTTTTTTTTTTTTTTTTTCCAGGCTATGAAGGCATGGTGGCAGACAGTCCTTACAAATACAACATGTAAAGCATTTACCATATCCTAAATTTGCACTCTTTGCAGACCTGTGCACATGTACTCAGCTTTCAGAATAGTTTTGCAAGTTGTAAACGGAAAAAGGGGTGGAAGCTTTTTAATAAAAGAAAAAAAAGGAAAACAACGCATTTATAAATGATCCTGTATTAGAATATAATAAAACTCCAGTATAGTCAGTTACTACCCATGATGTACAACAGATATCTTCTATTTTAGTTGCTAATAAAGGGCTACACAAACCAAAATAGTCTGATTTAAACTTATTGCTTTGTGTTCTGTATGTGGCTGCTTGTCATTAACATCCTTTATCCTCAGTTCTTACGCTTGATAATTCAGCCATTCTGTAAAATACTTTAGAATGTATTTTATATTCAACATTTGTTATGACTACTTCATTGACAGATTTTTTTTATCTTAAACCTGCACTATGAGTTAAGCTGTGCAAAAGAATTTTAAAAACTTTGTATATTCTAATTCTTTTTGTTTTACAATTATCTATAAAATAGTATCTTTTAGTATGTGGTACAAATTTGTATCAGAAATACACTTTTAATGATTTTTATGCTCAGTTTGTTTATTAAAGTGAAATGGATGCAGTATTTTTATTTGAAATTACTTAAAATTGAAAACAAACAGTAGCTTGAAAATTAAAATTCTTAGAGTATCTATCAAGTATTCATAGGCCACAGAAGCCATACAGTGCTAAGCTCAAGCAATTATCCCCTAAAGATTTAATTGGGAGGGGAAGGTAAGGCTTCTCTCTCTTTTTTTTTTTTATTTTTTTATTTTTTTATTTTTTATTCTTTGACTGTGGGTAGAATTGTTTTATGTTCTTTAAACATCATCACATCTTAGGAGTTCTTGAACTTTCTTCTAGCCAGAATAATGGTGTAATTATTTGAGTTGTTATCATTCCTGAAGACTTCCTTTTGTTCTAATAAGAAATGCAAAGTAGGATGGCAGTACTGGCTCATTATCTAAATGGAGATTTTATTCCCTGATATTTTACCTGCTGTCAAGCAACCTCCTGGTACATTCAGCTTTTCTGGGTGGCAGAGGGGAATTTCAGAATTCAATTTAGATTATCTTTGAAAGTTGTGGGAATTGCTGCATACAAAGTCTTTACCTGAAAGCGTACCAGACATCTTGATTTTTCTATTAAAGTACCCTTTTGCAAACAGGCACTACTTGTACCGCTTCTATTTTCCTTATCACAGTTGGCCACCATTTTAATAACAACGGTGAATGCTCCATTTACAAAATGAACTACTTTGCAGATGTTCAGAATCCATCCCAAATGCCAAACTCCTTTGCATGTCCGTTCCTTTAGTTGCTTTATTGCTCTGCCTTGTTCTTGAGAAGTTTCAGCAGCAGACAGGGGAAAAAAACTTTCAGATTACTTATGACAGACCAGCAGGAAGGCTGTGCAGGTAAAACTGAACTGGTAGCCAGTCTTCATAAATACTTGTCTGACTGTGCCTTATTAAAAAAAGTAGTTTGATCATGAAGGTTAATTTTTTTTTTAATCTTTGGTGAATACAAATTTAATTAGGACTCGGGTTTCTTTCAGTCTTATGCCAAATGCTTAACGTCATTATTGAAACACACAGTTAATTGGAACAGTTAAGTATATACCTTCTCCCTAAGGTAAACATAGTAATTAGCTTCCGAATACAAATGCTGGAGTTGCATCTTAGTTCTGTAAGATAGTTTTAATAAAAACAAAACATAACTGGAAGAGCTTCAAGGAAGTTGGTCAGCCATTTTGCTCAGCACAATGTTACAAAATATCTTACAGTGAAAGCACTTCACATGTAAACTGTGTAATGTATTTCAAAATAAAGTTTCTAATTAAAACGGGAATTTCTGTGCCTACTAATAGTAACCAGCAATGACAGTTCAGAAGCCCACTCAGGGAGAAACTTAAAGCTTTGTGAAATCTGCTCTGACTTCAGAAGGATTTGTTGTAAAAACCCTGTTTGTTTGAGAGCAGAAAATACCTGATTTCAGAGAAGTCAATTTGTTTTTTTTTTTTGTCTTGACTTTTGGTGGGGTTGGAGGGAGTTGACTTCAGTCCTCAGTTTCCTGGTAAGTCAGCTTAAAATGTGTCAGAAGGAAAGGCAAATAAGGAGAATAACAAACTCCTGAAAAGATCTTCACTCAGGACTATAGTTTCATTATTTTAGCTTTACCACACATTTTATTCTCACTCAAATAAGCATTTGAATATAGCATTTTGGGACAAAGAGTGACGGGTTTAGACAATATTGAATATTCACAATTCTATTCACTTTTGTGGAGGCTTCTTCTATGTGTAGGATGACTGAGCTTTGACCATTCTTCTGGCGCAATAGATCCAGCGGGGGACATGATTCTCACTTTAAAATTCTGGCATTGTAGAGAAATGTTCAATGTGTGAAAATGTTGATTAAACTGCTCCTTTGTTTTTCTGTTCTTGTGTTGTTCACAAAAGAGCTTTATGGATTTTAATTTTTTAAATATTGTCTTTAAAAAGTGCTTTCAAAGTACTGTCTACTGAATTCTTAATTCTTCAGCTTAATGTTTTTGACACTGAAATGGAGCAGTAGGTCTTCTGCTTTGGGTTTAGATCAGCAGAAGCAGGAGACAGCGCAGGCAGCGTCCCACGGCTGGGCGGTGAACGCCTCCCTGGGCGTCGGGAGCCACCTCTTGCCTTTAACGGAGCCTGAGGACGCGTGCCCCTCCCGGCACCTGGGCGCTCTCAGCGTGGTGCGGGTTGGATGTAGCTACTTCAGCTCTCAACCTTCGTCAGTTCATAATGACCGCTTGGCTTTATGTATTTATTTTAAAAATCATGACTCGAGTGGCTTTGATCCAGTGTTATTATTTGAACTGAACTCTTACTCCAGTGCAGTCTCCTTTCTTGGAGCCTTTGGAAATGCCATGTTTGCCCGGGCATTTTTAGACCCAGCTCTTGCTGTTTCTAAACCGCAGGGGCTTGTTGCTGTGTCTGGGGGTTCTGGGTGTTGCTGCAGGCTTTACTGGAGAATTTGGAATTGATATCTCCAGCACTGAAATGGGGGGTTTCCGTTTGACGCCTGGACACAGAGTCTCCCTGTACTTTGGCATGTCACTTTGGTGGTTGGTGTAGGGTTTCTCCATTTCACGTTTGTCCTTTTGCCCTTATTCCCTCAGGAAAAATGCTATCCTCTGCATCAAAGGAAACTTTGCTTTCAAATTACATCAGTCATCATGATTTGCGGTTGTTATTTCCTCAGGCTGAGTTCAGTGTGCTAACTAGCATCTGATCCACTCTCAAAAATTGCCCAAACTATTACGTTCATGGAGAAATGTTTAAAGTCCCTTGTGTAGGTGACCTTTTGCCTTCCTATTTCTGTGAGAAACTTTCTGAAATTAGGCCTTCAAGCTAGCCTATGAAAAGACCTTCAGTGTGAAGAAAAACTGAATTTCAGGATCTAGTTTAGTGCACCCCAAAGATGTGAGATGTCTTGGTTTGGGGCCCACAGTGCAGCCAGATGGCCTTTTCAATAGATGGTTGCAAAACATCATTTGGAATGGGTCTGTAGGGATGAACTGACTTTATTCTTTCAGTAAAATCTATTGCCTCTATTCTAATTGTCTCTAGAGCTTTTTTTAATTTCAATTTTTTTTTTTCATATTTGATTTTGTCTAATTCTGAAAACAATTTGTCCATGCATACCACAGACAACTTCCAGATGCCTGGTGTCACTTGGGGGTTATCTTATTCCAGCATTAGCTGAAAACTCAGCATTGGCTTCTTCCTGTCTTGTCTGGTACCTGTTTAGTATGTGCATTCCCCGACGCCAGGGTCTGGGACATCTCCCCCGTTGCTTATACCCCAGGAATAAAAATGCCATGGTAGTGATATTTCTAATGTCAGTTTGTTTGTTTGCTTCTGGTTTTTGGTTGGCTGGATGCAGTGGTGGGCAGCCTGTTACTGCTACTTCAAAGAGAAGAAATGTTGGAGGTATTTTGTCAAGTCCAGCTCAATTTGTTGAAGCTCAAGGGTGAGAATCCTATGCTGGTATCTTTAAGTTACAGGTAAATAAAGGTGTCTTGGCCTTTATGCAAAGGTGACAGATAGACCCCCCCCTCATCCCCCAGGTTTCTAAGTCAGTGTGTTTGGTTCTCGGTGGATTTAAGAGAAGTAAATAATTATCTCAGCCCTGTGATCTCCATTAACATTAATGTAAATATGTATTCCCCACAAACAGTTCTATATACCTTTTTCAAAGCTTGTGAAACCAAAGTTATTTAATTACTGTTTTCAAACAAAAATATATCTGAATTCAAGTAGTTGTATTTAAATCCCATTAAAGAATTATCCAGGGCCTCAAATCCACTGTGAGTGAAGCTGGTAATGAAACTTTAGACTTCAGTATATGACAAAGACCTAAATGACAAGAGGAATAAAACATTGTGTTAAGCATTAAATTAGGAAGTCTCCGAACCTAAACATCTCGGATTTCTTTTTTTCTCTAGTGAATTTTAAACCAGTGAGAAATTACTTTTCCTGAGCCTGTGACTGCAGCTTCACGAGACTGAAAACAGCAGTGCTCTTGAGTGGAGTCCCTTCTTAGGTAAAAAGCATTTATTATATTTTTCTGCTGAACTCTTGCAGCACAAAGTGGAGTATTAGCATCTTAGTGCCTGGGCCGCAGAGGCTTGGCTGAGCTGCTGGGCTGCAGGGACAGGTAGGGAAAAGCGTCCCCTGGGATGTGTCGGCTGAACTTAAATGACTTTCCATTTGTTTCCAGGAATTGTTAGAAAGATTTGAAGAGTGAGCCTTTAAGCTCACTTTAAGCTCACTTGTGATGAATCAATGTTGAGCTCGTGCATATTTTTTATGATAAAAATCTGTTTTCTTTTATGATCACAGTCTAAAGAGCCGGTGTTAGAAACAACCTGTCAGTAAGATGTCTGCAATAAATGGCTGGTCTGGAAATGCTGACTGGCGCCACAACTACTTCCAGGGAGAAATCACACTTTCTGCATTTTAAGAAATGGTTTTCTGTTTGCAGGGCTGAGATGTAACCAAATGCTGCTTTTAAGCCATTCTGAAATAAACTGTAAACTGACTCAGTCATTGTATATGTGCACTTAGCTCTGGTACGCGCTCAGCTTTTCATCCATCAGAGAAGTTACCTGGGTGGCAGGGCAACGGGACGCATTACTGACATGTGCCCTACATATTTGCAAATCAACTCCAAAGCACTGGGGTTAT